CCCCTAGAAGTCTCCCCCATGGAATTCCCCCTTGGGATTCTGAATGGGATTCCCCCAAGAGACTCCCCCACAGGATGCCCCCAAGAGATTACTCCATAGGACTCACACAAGATCCCTGTATACGACTCCTACCAAACCCTGTGTCAAACAGTCGCACTGAGCAGAGATCTGGAGCCAGACACCCCCTCCCCGCCTTTTCGCCCAGTGTCGAAACGCCGAATAAGAAAACATCCAAAGGGGTTTGGGTTATTTTGCTCCTCCAACCCCGTCGCTCCACCGCCCCTGCGCGCGCAGCCGCCTCGCCGGCTCCCAGTGTCGCACGAGCAGTACCAACTATGTCCACGGGCGGCGGGGACCTGGCCAGGAAGGCGAGTTCACGGGCCCTTGGGTCCCAGGGACGAGCCTGGCTGGAGCTGTGGGGTCGGTGTGGGCGGGTAGCTCAGCGCAGCGCAAGTGGGGGTCCGCTGGAGCGCCGGATCCTGCAGGCAGCCTGCGATGCCTGATCTGGCGGGGGTATCAGATTTCACGTTTTGGGGTCCCTGGGGGGGGGGTTAGGGGAACAGTCTCACACGCCTGGAGACCCACGTCGACGTTCTCTTATTCATTGTTTTGCCGATCGGCGCGGGCCCTCGCACTCCCCCCCCCGTGGAGAATATCTTGGCTGTTTTCGGTGCTTGTTTCAAGCAGGTGGAGTCTCTCTCCCCCATAGGACGCAATGTTGCAAACAGTCGCACTAAGCAGAGGCCCAGAGCCTGACCCCCCCCCCTTCCCCTCCCTTCCGCCCAACGTGGAAACGCCGAACAAGATAACGTTCACCACAAGGGGTCGGCGGATTTGGGCTGAGCTGGGCTCAGGGGCCGCTCGCGCCCCGGGATAGATGCGGCCATCGGCGAGACCTGCCCTGGCGGGTACGATCGGCACTGGGGCAGCGGGCACCCCATACAGTCAACCCGCGTAGGAAGGATGGGCAACTTTCCCAAGGGTGCCCTTGCGTCCTTGCCCCTTCGGCCCATCCTTGGCGACTCTCGCTGGCCAACCTCGCTCGACAAACGTTAACATGGGCCTCCAAGGCCCTTGCATCCTTATTGCGCATCCCTATTGTACGGGTTGACTGTACTGGGCTCGCGTCGCCGCAGACGCCCTCCGAATTCGGAGTTCCTGCCGATATCTGAGGAATCTGGCCTGCAGGGGTCGGGTTCATATGTGGTTGCCTACGGGAGGTGGGGAGCCTCCTCCCTCCTCCTCCCTCCTCCTCCTCCTCCTCCTCCTCCTCCTCCTCCTCCTCCTCCTCCTCCTCCTCCTCCCCCTCGCCCTCCCAGGGTAAGTGTCGTTCGACACGGTGGTCTTCGTTTTCCTGTTTTTGTTCTGATGTTTCTCGACTGGAACTAGAGCGATCCCATCCTCCTCCTCCTCCTTCTCGTCCTCCTCCTCCTCCTCGTCCTCCTCCTCCTCCTCCTGCTGCTTGTCCTTCTTGTCGCATGGATCGCTCATTGGGCGGAGGCTCGTCGAGTCGGCTCCCGTTTCCTTCTCCTCCCAGCGTGGCGGGAGCGATGTGCTCCGGACTGCGCCGCTGGCGCTCCTCTCGTGCGCCAAGCAGGCTTTGACCCCACCCGTTCGCGATGCCCCCCCGAGGTTCTGCGCTGCCGAACCGCTCGAACCCCCAGACCCGCCGTCGGTGGAGCTCCCTATGGAGCCACGAAGCGCTGTACTAGGTGTGGGGGACGCTTGCGGGCACCCCCACCGGGGGCCTTCGGTGGAGCTCCCTGTGGGGCCACGGAGCGCCGTACCCGGTGGGGGAGACGCATGCGGGCGGTGCCCTTGTGACCTTCGGTGGGGCTTCCTGTGGGGCCACGAAACGCCGTACTGGGTGGTGGAGACGCATGCGGGCGGTGCCACGGGGGCCTTCGGGCTCAGATCGATCCGCCGATGCAACGCCTGGTCATCGCTGTCCTGGGGCCAGCGGCGTGGCATCTTCGAAGCGTGTCGGCGCCGAGGCGCACGCCCGAACCCTTTGCCGATGGATTTATCTGGGTGTGCCACCCTTAGTGGGCCCCGGAAACGGTAGGGCCGTTTTTTCACCGTGTCAGAAAAAATGTCCCTTGAAACTGGAAAAGGCCATAGAACGGCGACCGGAAACGGCAATATAAACGGCTCCAGGATTGGAACCGGAGCGGGAACCCGTAAAACAACGGCGACCGAACCGGCAAAAAAACGGCGTCGGAACTGGCAACAAAAACGGTAAAATGGAATTGGTAAAAAAAAACGGCCTTGTCGTTTCCAGGGCCCACAGGTGCCACCAGATGCGGCACAAAGGTTGCACAGTATGCTATGTCTTCTTTTGCCCCCGCTGTCCGGATGGACGCGGCTCGCTTGCCCTGCCGCGCGCGTGCCGCACCGGCAGGTGGCCAACACCGTGGCTCACAAGCAGGCCGCCTACTACATGGAGGTGGCCAAGCACGCCACCAGCAACGCGCTGGAGCTTGAGAATGCCCGGAGGACGGCTCCCGCATGGTTTGCTTGGTTCTGGGCCTCCTAGATGGGGTCCGAGTAGATGGGGTCGGAGGATCCCGCCGCATCGCTGATGCATCGGCGATGCGTGTTTTGTTTCCCCACGCCGACGTCGCCGATGCATCGCCGATGCATCGGCGATGCATTTGCGATGCGGCGCGATCCTTCGACACCATCCACTCGGACCCCATCTAGGAGGCCTCTATTGGTTCGACTCGAAGGTCGCGTCAAGTGCGACAGGCCTGCCTCGTGGATTTGCCGCGTGGCATACACGCTTGATGCGGCGCGTACGTTGCCAGGCGCAAGAGGGCTCTCGAGGCGAGCCGGCCTGGGGCCGGCCCGGGCCGTCCTCGGGCGAAATGCTGTTCCTGGGCACAGCATGCGGGCACGTGCCGGTCTCTCTCTCTCTCTCGCTCTCTCCCTCTCGTTCTCGACAAAGACGACGACGACGACGACGACGACGCAACGACGACCAAGACTAAGACGACGACCAAGACCAAGACCAAGACCAAGACCAAGACCAAGACTAAGACGACGACGACGACGACGACTAAGACTAAGACGACGACGACGACGACGACGACGAAGACGACGACGACGTGCGTGATCTTCCTGCCCCTCTTCCTCTGGGTCCCTCTTTTGGTGAGCCAGGGCCGCAGGGGACCGTCGGGGGGGCGGCGAGTCGCTTGGCGACTGGGCCCCTATCTGACCTGATGTGCTTGCCACGTCAGGGCGACATATGACCCCTACGTCGATAAGACTTGGTCCTCTGTCTCTCTTGGTTCTACAAGGTTTGAGGTACGACTTCCTTCGCTCAGAGTTCGCACGTGCGGGACGGCTGCTGATGCTTGCGCTATCCCCCTTTCGTTCCTTCCTCCTCGCTCGGACAAATCTCTGAACACCATGGGTTTCATTTGCCGGAGCTCTTTAAGTAGATTCCGAAGTGCCAACCCGCGGCGTCGGTGTTTCAATTCGTGTCTCGCGCTCGTCGCTCTCCTTCTCTCGCGCGTGTTCAGGCTTTCTGGGGGTTCCTGCAGAGTCTCTTTGGTTGTCATGTCTTTGAGCCTCTGGGAGGCCTCAAGAGACCCGTTGAGCGCTTCTTAGGGGCTTGGGTACTGGGGCCTTCTTGGGGCCGTCTAGGGGTGCTCTTGGGCCGCTTTCGGCCCCTCTGGAGACCCTCTTGGACCAGAATTGGGCTCTATACTACGCACGTCCTGGGCCGACCGGGGGCTCTCGGTGGGCATGTCTGGGCCCTCGAAGGCCACCAAGTGGCTCGTGCTTCGACCAGAGAGCGACGGACACCTGCGGCAGACGATCCCAAACAGTCCACCACAGTTACGATAGGGGGCTCCACGAAGGGGCCACCGAGCTCGGGGGCACGGCACCCCTCACTGGGCGCCGACGAGTCATCGGAAAGGGAGGGGGCCGAGCGGTCTTTTTATCCCGTCCTCGGGCGCGTGGACGAAGGATTGCAAAAAACCCTTCGGTTTTTTGCAATCCTTCGGTTTTTTGCAATCCTTCGTTGCAGTGGAAATGCGTAGCCCAGATTATGTTTATTGTCGGTTAAGCGTGCATTTTAAGATTCTTCAGGCTCACGCCACATCCGCCGACCCCTTTGAACGTTTCAGGGGCCCGGGATTGTCGGCCATGTCACGATGTGGCGGTAAAGCCACCGGAGGCGGACTGCGTCCTGGGCAGAAGAGGTTTCATTGCTGGATAGGGGGGGGTTATTGTCAGTGAAACGGTCATTTTAAGATTGCAACTGTTGTTGATCCCCCCATTCGGTGCCCATTGCGTTTTTCAATTGAAGTGCACCTCCTGGGGCGCGCGCCTTGCCTTTCACAAGGGAAAGTCTTGCGCCTCAGACTGCGCCTCTGGCCCCCGCTTTGCAACAACAACGACTCTCGCCAGATACTTCCTCCCAATGTATTCAAAATCGCGTTGCCGTGCGGGAGTTCTTCAACATGCATGCAGGAATCGGGCTCTCGCGTGGGACTCCTTCGCAATTTGTTGAGACGCCGCGCACACGGCACTCAGGAATCACGCCCCCGCTTTGGACGCCCTACGTCAAGGGCATAAAGAACGCCCCTACCCTGGTTTACGAGGCGCTGTGCGCTGAAACTCCTGTGGGCTGGCAGGGTAAACCCTGCGTGATGTGCCGCGTCCTGGCGGCTCTAGGCTTTGAGGGTTCCCAGGAGGTTTACAGAGCACGCAATTGTAACCCAGGGCAGGGCCGCTTTTTCATCCCTCAATAACGACTTATTGGGGAATCGCGCCATGCCTCGAAAACTCCTCGCGGTTCATGCAGGACGCGCTCTTCGGCGACCCCCCCGCTCAACCCAGCCGTCTGGACTGCCCGCCCGACCCGCGCTTTGGGGCCGGCCCGCCCGACGCGCCTGTTTGGTTCTGCTGTGTTTTTCTGCTCCGAACCCCACTCCTGCTGATCGCTCTCGTGCTCCATCAGTATCCTTCCCCTTTGTCCCTTCCTCCTCCTCCTCCTCCTCCTCCTCCTCCTCCTCCGCCTCCTCCTCCGCCTCCACATCCGCCTCCTCCTCCGCCTCCGCCTCCTCCGCCGCCTCCTCCACCTCCTCCCCCTCCTCCACCTCCTCCTCTTCCTCCTCCGCCTCCGCCTCCGCCTCCTGCCTCTCTTGTGCTAGTGGCTGCGACAGCGACACGTGGTATGTCATAAAGATATACCCCCAAGGGAGGCGCGATCGAAGACGAAGGGGTTGGGTATCGAGGGCTTGGGATGTGTACGTGCGAACAGTCATAACATGAATGCTGGTGCTGATGGTGTTGCTGTTGCTGGTGGTTGTGTTGCTGTTTTTGTTCTTGTCGCTGCCATTGCTGTTGGTGGTGGTGTGTTTGTTGTTGCTGTTGTTGCGTTCTCATGAATACATACTTAGTGTTGTTGATCCCCCATCCCTGGTAATCATTGCATGTTTCAATCCAAGTGTGTCTCCCAGGACTCGCACCTGGTTTATTACAAGGGAAAGCGAGGTGTCACCAAATTGCGCCCTCGACCTTGTTTACAACAGCAACAACAACAACTCCTCCCGCCAGATACTTCCTCACAATGTATTCCCAAATCGCGCCTTCGCGCGGGACTTCCTCACAAGTCATGCAGAGATCGCGCTCTCGCGTTGGACCTCCTCGCAACTCATTCAGACGCCGAGCCCTCGACACTCAGGAATCACGCTCTTGCTGTGGTTTCCTCGCGATTTATTTGGGGATTGCGCTGTCGCTCGAGACTTCCTTGCGATTAATGCAGGACGCACGCTTCAGCAACCCGCCTGGGCCCGCCTTCTCGACCCTCCCGGTATGGTCCACCGCCCGATCGGCCCGTCTGGTTCTTCCACGTGTTTTCTGCCCCCCTTCCTGCTACCCTCTCTCGTGCTCCAGCCTCCTCCCTCCCCCTTGCCCCCTCCTTCCATCCGTCCTCTCTTCCCCTTGCCTGAGGGGCTGCACGAAATACACGCTACGGGTAAGAAAGATCTACACCCCCAAGAGGCTACGATCGAAGACGAAGATGGCGAGTATCGAGAGTTTGGGATACACGTGTCGAATGGCCCTCGAGCAGATAAGAGCGAACAGTCGTAAACTGACGGTTGTTGGTGGTGGTTGTGTTGTTGTCGTTGAACCCTTCACTACTGAAGAATAAGTATTGTTGCTTCCCACTCCGGGGCGCATTGTATTTGTTCAATTGATGTGCCCTTCCCGGGGCTCGCACCCTGTTGTTCATGAGGGAAAGTCTTGGGTCTCAGAACTGATTCCTTGGCCCCAGAGTAACAACAACAACAGCTCCCGCTTAATAAGTTTTCACCGTGTATTCCCAAATCGCGCTCTCGCGCGGGACGTCTCACAAGTTATGCAGAAGTCGCGCTCTCGCGTGGGATTTCCTCGCAATTGATTCAGACGCCGCGCCCTCGGCACTCATGAATCACGCTATCGCTTTGGCTTTTTCAGGATTTAGTGGGGAATCGCGCTATGGCTCGAAACTTCTCGCGGTTCACGCAGGACGCACGCTTCAGCAACCCGCCTGCTCGACCTGGCCGCCTGGGCCCGCCTTCCCGACCCGCGTGTCAGGGTCTGCCCACCAAATCTGTCCGTCTGGTTCTGCCACGCGCTTTCTGCTCCCAGCCTCCCCTCCTGCTACTCTCTCTGCCTCGTGCTCCACCCTCGTCCCTCACACCGTGTCCCTTTCCTTCTATCCGTCCTCTCTCCCCCTTCCGCAGGGGCTGCATGAAGTACACATTGCAGGTAAGAAAGGTATACCCACAATGGGCTACGAACGAAGACGTAGAAGGCGGATGCCGAGGGTTTGAGATATACGTGTTGAATGGGACGCGAGATGATACGAGCGAGCAGTTTTAACATTACTGTTGCTGCTGGTGGTGAAGATGATGTTGATGTTGCTGCTGCGGTTGCTGGTTATGTTGTTATTGCTGTTGGTGCTGTTGGTGGTGCTCTTGTTGTTGCTGCTGCTATTGTTGAATTCAAATAATGATGGATGATGGTCCCCCCTCCCCGGTAATCATTGCATGTTTTAATTAAGGGTTTCCCCCGGGTCTCGCACCCTGTTTCTTTCCAGGGGAAAGCGAGGTGCCACCTTATTGCGCCCCTGCCCCCCGGTTTACGACAACAACGGTTCCCGCCTGATACGTCTTCACAAGTTATTTCCAAAGAGCGCTCTCGCGGGACGTTCTCACAATGTATCTGAAATCGCGCTCTCGCGTGGGAGTTCCTCGCACTTGATTCAGACGCTACACCCTCGACACTCAGGAATCAATCGCATTCTCGCTATGTATTCTTCACGAGTTACTTGGGAATCGTGCTATCGCCCGAGACGTCTTCGAGATTCATGCAGAACGCACGCTTCAGCATCCCGCCTGCTCGACCTGGCCGCCTGGACCCGCTTTCTCGACCCGCCCGTTAGGGTCTGCCCACCCGATTTGCCCGCTTGGTTCTTCTACGTGCTATCAGCTCCTAGCC